AAATGGACAGGAATCTGAAGAGGCTCCTTCGTCTCCTAATCCTCATCGATGATGATAGACTTTTTAAAAGGCTTCTTTTCTTCTGAACAGACTCCTCATCATCCTCATTTTCATCATCGGTGAGAGATATGGGGTAGCTTTTCAACCATTCAATCTTTTCTTGTTCCATAACTTTTTGAAATTCGGGAAAAATTCGTGGATAATATGGATTCTTCTCGGTCCTCACGATCGAGAGTGTTTCCTGCAGAAATTTGTGCAACCAGTCGCCGCTAAAATGAACGAGAATCCTCTTTTTCTCCTCATGACGATTCATAATACTGTTCATTTGCGGTAGGGCTAGAAAAGTGGCAGTGTAATGATATTTGGCTCTTTTCATCGACAAAAATTGTGCATCCAAGGTAGAAATTTCACGAGCCGTCAAAACCTCTTCGTTGGGCAGAAATTGTTCCCGCATCTTGTGATAGCTACCCACTACGTTATAAGCCGCACATTTTGAAAAATCGGAGGCTTTTAAGTAAACGACTCCTTGAATGATAAAAAAGGAAAGCTCAAAATTTTTATATTTGAAAGGAATGCATGTGGTGAGCTGGGGATTCCGCATCATGATCGACTTCCCCAAAAATATGACTTTTTTGCTCTCCCGTTCTATTTATATATATATAGAGAGAGAGAGAGAGACCTTTCCCCACCCTCTGCCTACTTCCTCTATTTATGTACGTCCTTGGGATTGAAAGGATGACAGGAAAAAAATGTCATCGTTGGTTAGTTTTTTTTTTACTTTCACTTCCTCATCCTAATCCACTCAACTTAAAAAAGGTCATGGAGATAAGATTTCTTGGAAATAATATATATAAACAAAAAAAAACGTGACGTCATAGAGACTCTATTTATATAAAAATGCGAGAGCACTGGGCGACATCATTTTCATTTGGAGCCATGTTGCTGTTAGATGTTTTCCCGACACCAATTGATTTCGTATTTGGAGGATTTAAAGACGCTGACGCAAATTGCCAAACTGAAAATCTTTTTGGCGAGTCATTGTGTTAAATTTATTCCGCATTTACCAGCCAATCAAGGAACTGTTTCTTTCAAGCATTTAGTCGAATCATCCGACCTGCTCGTTCAGAATATGTATAGGAACCTATTCGACTCTCAACAAATGAAAGATGAATTATCCTTCTCTTGGAACCGGGTGGATCGAGCCTTGAAACGTCCCATTTAGACAGACCAGAAATACACGGATTGCGCATGAGTTTTCGATGGAAGAATATTTTTCTCACGAAAAGATACTTTACGTTTGGAGTGAGAACGAGGGCCGAGGATGAAGTTCATATTTATCAGACCACAGCCTCGCCTTTCGTCTATTACGAATCATCGGCCCCCGATATCCAAGGAAAGAGGTCTCAAAGCCACAGACCGGATGAAATTTAAGAAATTTCTAAGACCTTTCAAAAGCTATGCCGTCCCTCCGAAGACGCGTTTTCTCATGATCACGACACAGAAAAGCCTTTCTTTCGATCGGTGCCCGTGGACTCTTTGAAATCAATTGAAAAACGAGATTCCTTTCCAAACTCCGATTGCGTTTCAAGATTACAAACAGCCTACTTCTCTCATCCCTTCTTTAGATGATAAGATGATAGGGAAAAACAATCATGGCCCGAAACGAAATTGGCGAGTTAACGAAAAGAAATCGAAGTGTTCACGATCGATGATGATGAGGAGGAGGAGGATTAAGAAGAGAAAAAAATTACCTATTTAGAAACGGTTTACTTACCGTAACATGCCTGGGGTGGAACTGGGAGATCCCTTCATAAACCTAGAATCCTCTTCTCAAACTTGTTCAGACAGGCAGTCTCTTTCGGACTCTCAGACTTGTCCAGAACCTCTTCCAGAATCATCTTCTTCTTAAACGCCTCCAAAAATCATGGAGGCAGAACCTCAGCCTGGTCCACAAATCATGGATCCCGTAACTCGTCCCAAAGAGGCTCAAATATATTCAAGACAACCTTTTGAGGACCCAACACTTCCTGTATGGGACGATAAGTTAACCTCGAATGAAATTGAACCATTATGGAATTGTATTTCTAAAATGACATCGGAAATGTCATAAAATTTTTTAACAAATTGTATGATGGTAATGATAACAATAAAAAAATATTATATAGATACCAATCTTGGTGGCTTCTGAATTCAAAGAGAGAGGGTGTAGAGCCTTCACTTCAGTTTTCCAAGATGAGAGTGTCCACGTTTACCAAAATGGCTACCCATTTCAAAGAGAGAGGGTGTAGGACGTTCATTTCTGTTGTCCAAGGTTAGGGGGTCCCAAAATGGCTACCCATTTCAAAAAGAGATTGAGTAGAGCGTTCATTTCAGTTTTCGAAGATGAGAGGTTCCGCTTTTCAAAAAATGGCTACCCAATTCAAAGAGAGAGGGTCTAGAGCGTTCATTGCAATTTTCCAAGATGAGGTGGTTCGCTTTTCCCAAAATGCCTAACCAGTTCAAAGAGAGGGGGTGTAGAGCATTCATTTCAGTTTTCCAAAGTTGGTGGGTCCCAAAATAGGTACCCATTTCAAAGAGAGATTGTGTAGAGCGTTCATTTCTTTTCTAAAAGATGAGAGGGTCCACGTTTTCAAGAATGGCTACCCATTTCAAAGAAACAGGATATAGAGCGTTCATTTCAGTTCTCCAAGGTTAGAGGGTCCCGAAATACCTTCTGAATTCAAAGAGAGTGGGTGTAGAGCGTTCAGTTCAATTCCCCAAGATGAGAGGGTCAAACCCAAAATGCTGATTACCCAAAATGATTACCCAAAATGCCTTCCGAATTCAAAGAGAAGGGGGATGCAGACTTCAGTTTCCCAAGAATAGGTTGTTCCAAAATGACTTCCCATTTCAACGAGAGGTGGTGTAAAGCATTCATTTCCGTTCTCCAAGATGGGGTGGTCTGCTGTTCCCAAAATTGCTTCCAAATTCAAAGAGAGGTGGTGTAGAGTGTTCATTTACGTTCTCCAAGATGGGGTGGTCCGCTCTTCTTAAAATGGCTTCCGAATTCAAAAAGAGAATGTGTCGATTTTCCGTTTTCCAAGATAGAGAAAGGAAAAAAAAAACCTATGATGGAATAACACGGATAAAAAAACTATCTTGTCATTTTCTGATAGGGTATCGGTGTTCGAATATATTTGTGACCGACTGTAGGTGTTTGGAATATACCAAGGAGCATTGATTATTTCTCGTAAAATTTTATTTTGCAGAATTTGTAATTGTCTAATATTGATTTTAGCTGCATGTGTCCGTATCGGATGAAAGATGAAAGGAAGGGTCTTTAGGGATGTCTTGCGTATAAATATTAAAAAGATTACGGGGAAAGTGCCGAGCCTTGTAGCACACCAGCTTTGATTGCTCTGGTGGTTGAGTAAGCAGTACCAGTTTTGATTTTGAATGTTCTGTTGCTGAGAAAAGACGCTATTAAGCGAATAGAATGATTTGGAAAACTGAGAGTGATTAATTTGTAAATAAGGCCACGATGCCTTACCTTGTCAAGAGCTTTCACGATATCGAGGAATATGGCACCGGTCGGAAGCTTGCAGTTGTAGCCTTCAGTGATAATGTTGATAACTCTAAGAAGTTGGTGGCAAGTGTGCTATGATGATTGCGAAAACAGAATTGTTCTTCTGGGAGAAAATTCATGGAAGGGTGAATTCTTTGGATGTGAAAAAGTAGAATTTTCTCAGTAACTTTAGAAAGATGGCTTAGTAACCTGACAGGGCGATAGTTCTGTGGGAAGATGGGATTTTGTTGCGGTTTAGCAAAAACAATTATTATAGCTTGCTTCCATGGGCTGGGAAAATGAGCGAATTTGATAATGTTGTTGATTATCTTGGTTACGCAGATAACAGCGTTGATCGGAGGATGTTTCAGTGCTTTGGACGAGATGCCATCGTACCCTGGGGCTTTCTTCGTCTGTTAGGAGCTGATGGTGTTGCCTACGATGGTTAGGGTTGTCAGGAAAGCGAAGTTGTATTGAGCAGGGGGATGTCATGCATTTCTTGCAAAAATGCTTCACCGTAGTGCGGCTGAAATGACTGGCCTATATTCGCAGTTTTCATTGATAATGTTGTTGATTGTCTTGGTTGCGCAGTTAAGAGCGTTAGTAGTAACCGCCCGTAACCGGTAGGCGGAAGTGACGTCACAGAAAAGGGGCGCGGTCACCGCCATCTTGAAACACGTGACAACCGGATGTGACGTAGATGAAAGGAATGACGTAGACGGAATGACATCATCAAAGTTTCGTTTTGATTCTGTGGCAACGATTTTATGTTTCAAAGTTTTTTTTTTGTGGCATCGAATATATATTTTTAGGTTTTGTGGCAACGAACTCTTGAACCACGTGTTTGGAATGACATCTCTTTTAATTTATTATTTTTAATTATTTGACCCGTGATTAATATTAGTTTGATATTTGATTAATATTAATACTATTTTGTATGTCATTAATTTTACTTATTTACTCTTTTTAATAAGTATCTTAATTATTTAGTACGTCATTTATTTATTTAATTATTACTTTTAATTAAATTTTATTGAATTTAACATTATTTTCCCTGAATTTTAAAAATAACTCCACGAGCGGTATTCGAATCCCAAACCACTATGCCAGCGAGGCCTTTCAAGCAATGTCAGATTATCGCGTTGTGTAGAAAAACAACCATGACGTCACGAGGCTGGGGGAAACAGGCAAACGTCATCTCTTTCACGTTGCAGCCTGTCGAAACCGCTTCACGTTTTCTGCATCCGCCGTGGCGAACGTATACAATCTTAACAACCAATCAGCCTTCCGCTAACAATATCTGTCTTATTTCAGCCAATCAGCGTGTTTGTTTCTTGTACTTCGTCTATATATTCGCTCGCGTGGACGATTGCAATCATTTCTACTTTGTTTCTTGCTGAGTGAACGTCATTTTGACTCTGCCATTTTCCTGCGCCATTTCGTTTTCTTGTACACGATGTCTGCTAAACTAACTTATTCTGCATCTAATGTAAGTATTTTTCGCCTGTATCTGATTTTTAAATTACTATATTTTGAAAACGAATTTATTGTTTTCTGAACGTTTTATTTATTTAAATATTTAATTGCCAGTTGCTATTTGAAGATCCTGACTTTCCCTTCAGTGACTCGGACGATGACGTAAGTATAATATTTTACACGTACTTTTAAGTTACTATTTTGAATTTATTTTTCTCCGTAATATTTTATTTTGAACGTATTCACTTTTCTTTTGCTAGTTAGTAGATGAGGTTGATCAAATATTTATGGAAAATCCTATGGATCTACCCTTGTATTATCAAGTGGGTTCCGGATTTGAAGTAAATTTTCGTTTCGTTATGATTCGATTAGAATATTTTTTCTAGTACTAGAAATGAATGTATTTATTTTTAGACTTCTTCCTCGTCAACTCGTGGGCCTGTATATATGGCTGGTTCCGATGAACGTTCGGTTTGTGTATTTTTTTATCATAATGTCTTTTTGAAAATGTTTGATTATTGCTAAAACTTATTTTTATTTTTCAGATCGATGAGGCGATTGTACTTACAGAAAAGTCTCGTCGACGAAACCATAAATATCAAGCCGAGGAGATTACCTTCCACGCTTGTGTGGACATCGAAAGACTGCCTCAAGGCGTGCAAGGCATCCCGATTGTCCGAATTCCTGACACCGTCAGAGAATTGTTCGAACAACTCATTCGCCGTACAGCAGCTGATTTAAATCCATCTGACCTCATTCGGTTTTGATTTCAAGCAGAAGGCTTGGACAAACCGATAAGCACATGTCTGATGACTGTTTCGACTTTGACGGTCGAAAAGATTTTGGCTGCAGTTATGAAAGTACTGCAGTCCGAAGACAAGATCGAGCTGGATGCAGGGCTCCCGGTGGACGTGATCACGATTAGACGACCTGTGGGTGCCGGTGGAAACAGAAAAGTGATCAACATCTCCATGGATAGATTAAGAAAACAATCTATCTTGTCCATACCCTACGATGAGGAAGGACTGTGCTGTGCTAAGGCGATTGTTTATGCGTTGGCATATCTGAATGAGGACACGAGGGCCATCAATGCCATGAAAGATCGTCGCCGACCAGCACTTGTGAATCGTGCAAAAGAACTACATACGGCCGTGAACGTGCCTCTAGGCCCCTGCACATTTGCTGAAATTGCTACATTTGAAGACCATCTGGATACTCAAATTGCAGTCTTTTCTTCGGATAATTTGAACCGAGTAAGTCATTATTTTTATCTCAAGATATACTTCTGCTTTTAAATACTAGCTTCATACTTAACTATCTTTTCTACATGTTCTTGAAAATTGTAACTTGATTTTGGTTCTTTTTTATTTTGTGATTCCATACTATGTTTATGGTAAAATTATTTCGTACGTGAATGAGTTTTTTAAAAAAGTTTTCAATATTAATGAACTGAAAAATATTGAGACAACTAGCATTATAGTATTTTGATTATGTTGTTTCCATGTAAAAAAAAATACATTTCGTTAAACTTCCATGTTACAATTTAATACATGGTGAGTCTTTAAATTAACTTTATGCCTATATACAATTTGTTTCGATGTTAAAATATAATGGATGAAAACTGAACGCATGGTGAATTTTCATTTTTAGTTTACTTTTTTAGAATACTTTATATGTTAAAATTATAACTGGTGAAAACTGATTTCTAAATTGTCCGATTTTGGAATTTATTTTCAGAGAAAGGTTTTCTTTAGAAGTTAAAAAAATTATAGACAAAATTAATAAATTTTTATTTTTATACTTTAAAAATTTTATTTTTAGATTACCCTAAATTGTTAGATTGACTTTATACAATGCATGTATGCAATTCGTTTCCACGTTAAAAAAATATAACTTGAAAATACTGAATACGTAGTGAATTTTCTAGATTGTGTTACATTTTTTAGATTATTTTTATGTATGAAATTTATTTAGATGCTAAAAACATAACTTAAAAAAAATTTTAGATTAATTTTACTTTTAAGATAAAATTTATATTTCATGCATGCATTTCTTTAGACTCTAAAAATATGTCTTATAAAAATGCATGGTGAATTTTTGAATTACTCTAAATTTTAAGATTATATTTTATGCATATTCACGCATAGAATCCATGAATGTATGCAGTTCGCTTCGATGTTAAAAAATATACCTTATCAAAATTAAATGCATAGTGAGATTTTAGTTTACTTAAAATTGTTAGATTAATTTCTTATTTTATGAATGCAATTCGTTCACTTTTAAAAATTTTTATTTTTAGAATACTTTAACTTTTTAGATTTTATTTACATGTATGCACAAAGGCAATTTGTTTCTATGTTAAAAATATAATTTGCAAAAAGTTAACATTTAGGCATATATTTCTGATCATTTAGTTGTTAAAACTTTAACTTGTAAAACTGAATGCATGGCGAAGTTTTTAGATTGCGTTAAATTTTATGTATAAATGCATGCATGTATGCGGTTCGCTTCGATGTTAAAAATATGACTTGTAAAAAAAAATGCATGATGAATTTTTTATTTTTAGATTCATTTTATGCATGGACACAATTCGTTAAGATGTTAAAACTTTAAACTATAAAAAATGAATGCACGATGAATTTTTTTTTTTGTTTTACTTTAACATATATGCATGTAATTCCTTTCGATGTTAAATGCACTAGGAATTTTTAGATCGCTTTATGTATGCAATTAAATGTTAAAAACTGATTTTACTTTGATTTTTTGGAATTCAAGAGAAAATTTTTGTCTTTCTGTGTTTTAGGTGGTCTATAAAGGAAAGGAGAGGTCTCAACGGATCAATTTATGGCTCCATGATGCGCACTACGATGTGATTAAATCCCTGAAAGGGTTTTTTGCCAGCAAATACTACTGCACAGCATGTGAAAAGCCGTATGATCATCCGGAAAGCCATAGATGTGCCAATGCGTGCCCCATATGCCTGAAGGACCGACTGCTTTCCAGGCGTGCCCCAACGATGTCAGGATTGCGACCGTCTGTGCCGCTCTAATGCCTGTTATGCAGCACACAAAGCCGTCACTGGAAATCAAGAATTTTCACTTTGTGACAGGGTAAGTGTTTTTGAAAATTTATCTTAATGAACAAAGTTATTTATCAAGTAATAATGGTTATGTTTTAAAAAAATTAATTTTCGTTATAGGTATACCAATGCAGGGAATGCTGCCAAGTGATTGAACGCCGAAAGTGCCCTAAAGAGCTTCACAAATGTGGTACCACCAAATGTCCGTCTTGCGGCCAGTTTGTCGTGGCTGCTGAGCACCGTTGTTATTTGCGACGTGTTGCTCCGAAGAAGTCCGAGGATAAGCTCATCTTCTTTGACTTCGAAACGGATCAGTCTTCGGGGGAGCATCTCGTAAATTTCGCGGTGGCTCAGTATGCCGACGGCACAGAAAAAGTGTTTCCGGGATACACGGCATGCCAAGATTTCTGCGCCTGGCTGTTCTACCACACAGCACAAGGGCTTCACCGCCGTGGCTCATAACATGAAAGGGTAAGTTAAAAATACCATAGTTTGCATGCTTTAGTTTTCACGACTATTTTTTCAATATTATTCATATTTTTTTTACTTACAGGTTCGACGGACAGTTCGTGATGGCCTGGCTCCTGGAGCAAGGCACAGCGCCGGAGGTGATCCCTAACGGGTCTATGATCATGAGTGTAAGACACCCTAGTCTGAACATTCGGGTCATAGACTCGTTAAATTTTCTACCGATGGCGTTGGCCAAACTGCCGGGATGCTTCGGTCTCACCGAGTTGAAGAAAGGCTACTTCCCGCATCTTTTCAACTCGCGAGAAAACCAGAGTTATGTCGGACCGCTGCCTGAGGCCCGGTACTTACAGCCCGGATACCATGAGCACTTCAGCCCGACAAGCATTTCTGTCCTGGCATGAAGAACACAAGGGGGATGTGTTTTAACTTTCAAGATGAGATGCTGGCCTATTGCAGGTATATTTTTCCCCTCCTTTATTCTTATTTGTTTAATATTTTGTTTTATTCTTATATTTTATGTTTCGTATTTTTAACATTTTTTCTTTTAATAGATCGGACGTGGACATTCTTCGCCGTTGCTGCCTGGAGTTTCGAGCCCAGTTTTTGGATGTGGCGAATGTGGATCCATTCCAGTAAGTTATTTTCTTAATTCTTTTATACAATAATGATCATGTTTACAGTTATGTTCTTATAGAATAATCATGCTCATGAAATTGTTCTTTTTTCTTTTCAGATACGTGACCATTGCGTCAGCGTGTATGGCAACGTATCGGAGTGGCCACATTCAGCCCAACACGATTGCCATGGTGCCCACACACGGCTACGTCAACTCAACGAATTACAGCCCTGATTCGATCCGGTGGTTGGACTTTGTTGCTGCTTCGGAAGGCATTGCCATTCAACATGCGTTGAACGGTTCCGGAGAGCACAGAATCGCCGGAATCTCGGTAGACGGTTTCTGCCAAGCAACACAAACCGTCTATCAGTTTCAGGTAAGAAAATATAACCATTCTTTTTCTATGTGATTCTTTTGAATGATTTTACACTTTTAATGTTTAATTTACATGTGGAACCCTATTAATATATTTGTATTATTTTAGGGCTGTTTCTTCCATGGGTGTAGTTCGTGCTATGACGGGGATGTCATTCATCCGCTAAAAGGGGTTTCCATGGCAACCTTGAGAGAGAAGACAGAGGACACCACACGAAAGCTTCGAGCCCAGGGTTTCCACGTCATAGAAATGTGGGAGCATGAGTTTCAGAGAGAAAAAGAGGAAAATCCAGATCTCCAAGCTTTCCTGGATCAACACCATCTGAGGGACCGGCTCAATCCTTGCGAGTCATTTTTCGGAGGACGGACCAATGCCCTCAAATTGGTCCACGAGGGAGACACTAAATATGTGGATTTCACATCCCTCTTTTTTATCATTTTAAAACCTTTTCATGGATGATGTGTTTGCTGATTTTTATGTTGTGTTTTCTGATTTTTTGTTTTATCTCACAGGTGAACAAGTACTGCGTCTACCCCGTGGGACATCCGGAAATCATCACGGAAAGCTTCGGGGATGTAGAAAATTACTTTGGAATTTCCAATGCCGTGTGATTCCTCCACGGAACCTGTATCTTCCGGTACTGCCCTATCGGTGCCGGAAGAAACTCATGTTCCCCCTGTGTCGAACCTGCGCCCTTCATCAAATGCAAGCTCCGTGTACCCACACAGACGACGAGCGAGCTCTTGTCGGAACGTGGGTATCGGAGGAAGTCAAGCTGGCGAAAAAGAAAGGATACCGCGTCACACATGTAAGTATTCAAAAATTTTTTAAATCTTTTGTCATAACCCAAATTTATTATTATTAAAATCTTTTGTCATAACTGAAATTTATTACTTTTTTCTAGATTTATGAAGTGTACCATTTCCCGACATCCTCTACTTCTCTGTTCAGATCATACATTGATCTGTTTCTTAAGATCAAGCAGGAAAGTAGTGGATGGCCTTCGGAGTGTGTGACGGAAGAAGCCAATTGAAGTATATATTCGCCAGTATGAAGAAAGAGAGGGTGTCAAGTTAGACGCAGGAAAGATTTCCAAGAACCCTGGGCGTCGCCAAGTTGGCCCTGAATAGCTTTTGGGGCAGGTAAGATGATTTCTTTTATACCTAATTTTTTGTAAACATTTTTATTTTTAATTCGTTGTGATTTATGTTGGATTTTTTTCAGATGGGGTATGAACGTCAACAAAGCCAACTGACCTATGTCCACACGGTGCCAGACTTTAATAAGATGTTGGCGGATCCTACTAAAAAAGTAAGTTTCCTTACCGATTTTATTAATCTGTAAAAACTTTCAAACTGTATTTTGAGCTGTTAACTCATGACTCTTCTATTTTTTAGATCAAAGATGTCTTTCTTCCCACGCCTGAGGTGGCTGCCATTTCCTGGGAATCTGCGAAGGAGTTTGTGCCGCAGGATGCCTCTACCAACATTTTCCTAGCGACCTTCACAACAGCTTGGGCTCGTCTCAAGCTGTATAGTGAAATGGAGAAGTTGGGTAGAGATGTCCTGTATCCACGACACAGAGACTCCATCATCTATGCCTCGAATGGCCGCAATGATCCCCCCTTAGGGCAAACTTCTTGGGAGGAATTTACGGATGAACTGGATGGAGATGTCATCAAAACCTTCGTCTCTGGTAAGGACCTTTAAAAAGTTCTTTATTTAATGTGTACCAAAAATGTTTAATGCATGTTTTTTTTTCTATTATCTCTTTTTCTCATGATTTTTTTTTTCAGGAGGTCCCAAGAACTATGCTTATCAGACGGCAACTGGGAAAACCTGCTGCAAAGTATGAAACACTTGGTCTGTAGTCTGGACGAAAAAGAAAACATCTTTATCCATAACCCCTCCAAAATCACTCGAGAAGCGAAAAGAAGAAAGGTGATGAATAAACCCGAGACAAAAATGTACAGAATTGTATTAGATAAACGGGTGATTCAAAAAGACTTGAGCACATTGCCGTATGGTTATTAGCATATTGAAGAACTTTTTATGTTAGAACCTTATCTGAAAATGAAATTTTGTATGTGAAAAAAATATGTATATATATGTGTGCAGAATCATACATTTGTGTCTGTATAAAAAACTTATTTAGAAAAAAAATAAATAGAAGTTTGAATGATAAAATTATGGTGTTTTTCTTATTTGAAAGGATTTCATGAAAGGTAAGTTTTTTAAATATTTTTTAGAAAATAAGGGTTATGATTATGTATATATTACTTTAATCAGAAAAAAATGATTTTATATATTAACTTTATCAAAGAAAAACATAACACAAATAATCAGAAATTACTTTTATTAACATTTCATTACAATTTCAGCCATAGTTTCGAAGAGGATTTTCTTTTAGGTCTAGCATACATAGTTTTTACATTCATTAAATGTTTGTTTTTCACAAAGTCTTGAGGAAAGTTATTCAACATTCAGTACATTTTTAAACTGTTCAAAGGCAGTAAGGTCTTTCAGTTCTATTTCTCAACAGAAAGTTTATCAGTTGAACAATGTTGGACCCAGAAAACACATGACCATCCCAGAATCAGTTCTTTATTCTGTGTCCAGGAAATCTGATGTTCTTTTAGAAAATCTATTATTTTCTGTGCCGTTCTTTTCTGTTTCACAGGAACAGTCTTGCATAATTTCTTTTTCTACATCTGTCTCAGAAAATTGTTCAGGCGGTTGTTTTTCAGGACGCATTCACATGAGGAAACGTAACATACTTTTGCAGAACCTGGATGTACAATTTGGATTTTTTCTCATCGTCCATTTTCTTTTTTTAAGATGTTTTGAATTTGGGTATCTAAATCACTCAAATGTTCATCTTCAAACTGGTGCATACGATCCAGGGTACCAGAGCGAATTTCTTACTGTGTTCCATGGAGAAGAGAGGATAAGACACTGACTGCTGCAGGAATCAGGAAAGATAGAAAACCGTCACCTTTTTGAACCAAAAGACGTCTTTTCTTAAAAAGAGGTACTTTTTTGTCCGCTAGTTTTCTTAAAGTTCTTTTAAAAGGGGCGAGTCGATTTTTGACGCGTTTGGTGATGGGTACGTTTCCTTTTAGAAGATTTAAAACACACTCACAAACTGATTTAATGAGATGATTCGGACACTTTTTCAGTACTTTATTTAATACCTTTGTTCGACTTTTTCCTAACAGTTTTAGATAATCCACATCCTTCAGATGAGACATGCTGATGACAAATGAGCTCTTCTTTTTGCACACTTTCTTTTATATAGGTAGCAAATGCAGCCGCTTTGGTTAAAGCACAGTAATTAAATCCTTTTGCATGAATAGAACATGTTAAAGAATGTTTCTTTTTTAAATTCTCTATCTTAGGACAGTCTAGATTTATGATGTCTCTACATAATAAATTTTCTAAAAATAATTTCTTTTCTAATCCTTTCACGTATATGACAGAATAAATAGATGACAAATATTGCAAAATAATACGAAGGTGAGTATAAGGTAATACACCCTCACTCCAATTCATGTGATGACGATTTCTTGTGACCCAAGCAAAACACTTTTGCTGAGATCGTGATAATGTTTTCCAAGGCTGAGGAGGTAAAAATGACCAGCAACTGTGATATCCTTCATGCACGGAGTAAAAAGCTAATTCTTTAACAATGTAACAATGAGGCATCCACTGAAAACCTTCGAAATCGATCACGATGGGAGAAGACATGTTAGCCATTCGACGTCTCAAACTGAAATGAACTATCGGGGCTGGTAGACATAGTATTTATCCCCAGGAAAGATGCCTGTACGAAGGCGAAGCGTTTCACTTGTTTCAGGTCGTAAATCAATCAACAAGTAGCTAAATGGAGTTGAAGTAGCATCCTGAAAAATTTCTTGAAAGGCCTTTACTTTTCCGGGGAACATTTGTCTAGCTAAATGCATAATTTGACTTTTATCTCTAGGATTTTTGTATAGGACAAGGTAATGGGAATTTAAGAATATTTTCCTCCTTGCCTTAATGAAAAAAGATTTTGAAAGCTGATAGATAAGTAAACGTTTGCCCCACAGATTTTTCATTTGAGTATCATTTTTGGATTTTTTCATTCTTATGTAAAATTTTCTGGTATATGCTAAATTATTGTAAATTACTTTACTCGAAAAAGATTGTGAATGCACAGAAATTAAAGATTTGCCCACGTCGAAAATAAAAAATATTAAATATATATGGGTATTTATGCATATGCTTGCAAAAAGCATGTATCTGCTTTTAACAATATACGTAAATATTCATTAAATTATTCATAAATGTATTTGGAAATGAAGGATTGTTACTGTGAAGAAATCTAGTTATTAGATATATCTAAATTTATAATGATTATAAATATTATCTAAATATATAATAACTTAACATTTAATTGTAAACATAAAATTAAATTCTGTTGACAAATACGTTTATAAAACTATTTAAGCAAGAATTGATCGTACTGGAAAGCAATCTGTTAAAAGGTATTGTAAAGCAAATTCTATGAGATGCGTACTTAAGAAAGTAGTAAAAAAGAGTTTTTAGAATATGTATTGTTGAAATAAAGGGTAAAAAAAACATCGTAAATATTAAAAGAATTATTTCCTTAAATTCTATAATAAATAACTCAGTTACAAGTTTTAAATAATATTTAGAAAAATAATCCTTGTTTTTTATTCCCTTTCAGAAATATTTATAGAAAGTCAAGTACATGGAAATCAGCAACCAATATTTAATAATATTTCACTATTAAAAATAAAAGGTGCTCTAATTTGAAATGGAACAGAACAGAGCATTAATTATAAAATTGACTCAGATTTTCGATTTAATGATGCCTCAGGAGCTAAAAAATCATCTCATTTGAGAAAGTATTTTAGGAATTAGCTCTGTAAATAGAAAAAAAAAATAATGCGTAATTTTAATATTAATAATGCAATAAACGTTGATCTTAATTTTTATAATCTTTAACCGAATAAAATCGAATTACCTTAATTTTTTTCTATTATAATTAATGAAAACTTGTGAAAATATTTCATGCAAATTAAACTGTTCTGGAAAAATTATAGCATTTAATTTCGTTCAAAATGAAATGTTGCTCAAAAATGCATTCGTTTCACATACTTAGGATTCTGAAATATTATAGAAAAAGAACTGTATATTTTGGTGTCTAGGAAGGGATCACCACTGCTTCAAAGCAGTGAAAGGGGAAAACCGGTTAGGACCTTCTCCCAAAGAACGTCTGTCTATACCTATTCTTTGCCTCTCCTCTTACTTCCTACCTACATGGAGGTACCCTAAGGGGATGAAGAGGGCAGTTCATATAAAAATAGAACTTGTAGAGAAATATTCCGTTTTCAATTTATACCAATCAGAAGCTAATTTATAAACTGAAATTAGTCCATAGAATATACAGCGATCTCATTTCTTTACATTTTCGTCATCAGATTTTGCATCCTGATTTTTGTTTTATTCTTAGCCTTTATATTTTAGATATTGTATTATTATTACTTCGCTGTTGATCTCTAATTCCAAACTGGGTAGGCGTAAAGGTGAATCTAAAAGTAATCGTCGGAGCGTTCATCCACTGTATTCATTAGCTTCAAAAGCTCAACGACTACGGCGTCTGAAAGAAAGAATAGTGTCTCAATCACCTATGAATACAGATCTTATAGAACAGTATGTTTTATGTACCCTTTTCTTCTTTCCTCTTTTTTAAATAGAATGATTTTTTCTTAAATCTCACATAACATTTATAAATTATCGATGATTGTTGGCATATCTGTGATGTATTGATTTTTAACGTTAACAGAGACAAAACTGAAACAACATTTTCCAGCATTAGGTCTTTATAGCTGGTCCCCTTTTGTGGCAAAAATCTTTATTACTTGAAATTTTGTGAAAGAAATCAGTAAATAATGCATTCATTTGTTTAGTTAAGTGAATTAAATTTCACAGATGTACAGATATCAATAGCTTTTATCATTCGTTTATACAAACATATATCCCTATGAGATTGAACCTCAAAATTATAGTTTTGGGTAAAACAGCTTCAATCTTTATAAAACTTAGATAGCAAAGGGTATTCGAGAAGTTCTGTTTTCTAAAATATTTTTCATGCTTATCACACGTAAAATGTGCTTTCAAAGTTTAAAAGTTACTGAAAACGAGATACACAATTCTATAGAAATATTAAAAAAATAATATTTTTATGTGGTTCTGAATTAGAAGAAACGTTTTACGAAGTCAAGTAAATACAAAAACTATATTCAGGCCGTTTTATCTGTAATATAGCTCTTGTCATAAATCAAGCCAGAAAGGTAGAAGAGCACACATATAGTTGCAAATTTGGTGGGAAATATGTATTCTCAAGCGTTAAATATACTGTACTTTTTGCATCATTTCGATATGTTTGCAAGCAGTTCTCCCAGAGTAGATCACTGACACAGATCTATTATTGAATAAAATTAGATGTCGCTTTAAAAACAGAAGGGGGAGAAAGAAGAAGAAAAAAAAGATTATAAAAATCAATATAGGAACAGACATGTTTTCTTCTATCGAGAAAATCACCTGAAAAATTGAACGATGGAAGGAATCATGTACAGCGCGGTGGCAGAAGGAAGAAAAATGGCAGAGGAACGTGGAGACAAAGATAGTCATAATTTTTACTGTGCAAAGGCCCGTCTACACGTAGCGATTTTCTCGGCCGACAATATCTGAGATAGCTCGCCTGTCCACACGGAACTATTTTCTCTTGAGTACAGGAATTCACTCAGCCAATCACTGTGAAAGGAAGTGTTCCCGCCCTCTACAGCGTCACACTGTCTCAACGAGATAGTATACTGGTAGAGAGCGTATTGCACCTCAACCGGTTCCAACATTAGTGTCACGTGACTGCTGCGCGAATTCAAGTCCGAAATACTTTACATTGCTTGTCTAGGGACGCAAAGATGTGCTCTGCTTGGTCACATAAATTTTAAGTAAAAATGGTTTATTCGCTGCAGGAAAGTATGAAATGTAAAGAAAGTTTCGTGAAAGGAGGACTTGAACCTTTCGTAGGTAAGTTAAAACTGCATGATTTATTATTTTATTTCAGTATTTATCATTTCTCTGTTGAATTGCTTGGATTTCAGCCATATTGTATAAGA